TTTCACTACCCCCGTGGTAGCTGCAGTCCTAGATGGAGATGGAAAGGTTGGGATTCTTAAAACAGAAAGACTCCGTCTGAATAGCATTGTAAATAATTAATTATAACACTTGCTAAATATTCTTACATCCAATTGTTGAGAAGCTGGGAAAGTACAAGGACATATCCATACAAATAGCAATAAATAAATGCTAATGAGCTGCTCCAGTTTGCATACCCGAGAAGGCAAGAGGGATGGGATGGAGAGGGTGACATGAGACTCTAAAGGACTCTCCATAGTCAACAGAAAAACCAATTTCTGCCAACGGTGAGAGTGGGGCTTATGCAAATACCTGGCCCCTGGGAAATGGATGGCACACCGCTTTCACCCAGGCACCAAACAGCCTTCCCACAGTGACAACTTTCAGACCCAGTCAACCTGCAGGTCTGTAACTCGAAAGGAAAAGGCTCCACATCTGCTGCCCAGCTTTCTGAAAGCCTTGACAAATGGGCAGATTCAGCTTCATATCAGGAGGGGAAATCACTGGGATTTCTCTGGCTGTGCTAGCACATCAGTCATTAAATACTGGGTTTCAGAATAAGCCCAATTAAAATACATTAGATTCCTGACATGAGATGTTCCAATTGAAGATGAATGTAGGACCAGTGCAGCTGGGCTCCCAGCATACATCCAGAGACAAATACATCATGCTCAACAAAGACCTGGGCCTCGGTGATGCCAAGAGGGTCCAATTTCCAAAAATACCGGGATCTGCTAATGACCTGCCGCCAACAGAGAGTGCCGAAAAAGTCTGACCTGGCAGGACTCCAGGAACCTACCGCAAAGCAGACCTAAAGCCATTACCTCACCCCCCAGATGACAGCAGGGAGACTCCATCACACTGAAATATTTGGGAGCCAGAAAGAAAAACATATATGTTCCCACCCCCTCCCTGCCTGAAAAAAGGAAGGGGCTGCTGTCATGCTGGCTCACTAAGCCTGTGCTCTGTCCTTAGATGGATGCAGCTGTCAGCAAAGTCAGGGGCAGTTATGTCCCTGCAGCTGGGCGGGGAAGCCACCTTGTTTTCTTTTTTCCTTCCTCCCTGCTGTTTCCACTCACTCCCTTCTCCCTGAAATATAGAAAATGTTGTTCTGAACTGACGCTCATGAGAGCAACTGCAGAAGTTATCAACTGTCATCTTCCATCCCACCAGAACGGGGAGAAGAAAAACTGATCTAGTGCAACTCAACACCCAGAGTTCAGGGACGCCGGTCGAAGGAGCCGGTGGATCAGAAGGATCAGAAGGAAAGAGCACTCTGATGACCCTGCAAGGAGAAGAGTCCCACATCCCAAGGCTTTGCTCTGTACCAAGCAGGCAGCTGCTGTGTTTTACAGACCAGCAGCTTGCTCTTCTCTAATGAGACCATTACAAATACTGTACTGCACAGTGCTTTTCACCTCTGGTACCTTATTTTATACACCATGCACCAGATTGCTTCTTCTGATTTAAAGACAAGACAGGAAGGCATGTGTGTGTGTGTGTGTGTGTGTGTGTGTGTGTTTTGCAGCTACAGAGACAGCTTAGCTGAATACTGGTCTTCACCAAGCCGCACACCATCACTAGTTAGTTAGATGTATTAATAGGTTTGCAGTAAATCATATGTAGTGTCTGCAGCCAGGTGACATGGTGACACTTCATTTTTTCTGCATTGTACCTTGACATTCCTGAGGGTTAGTCCTCTGCACAGGAACTGCAGGCACTTTGTTCTCCTAGCTGCTGCAGTATGTGACACAGGAGGTACATGGCATGCACACTGCTTTCTGGTGGAGACACCTTTTGTTCTCTCCTGTTGCTTCCCCTCGATATAAACAGTAAAGTCGGTGTAAGGTGACAGGGAATGGTTAGCTAGAAAAACCCAGCAAGGCCAAAAAACCCAGCAAGGCCACATACTGTTCCTTTCTGTTCTCCACTGGGATTGCATGACTGACTCTTTCATTTCATATTGTGTCCTTCTTTCCTTCCACTGCGCTGGCATTCAGTCTGCGTTTGCCTCATGTTGGAGTGTAAGCTTTATAGGGCAGGGGCTTTCTGTTTGTCCTGTGTTTGTACAGCACCTAGCACAATGGTCTCTGTGTGGGGACCCCTAGACACTTCTTCAGTACTCACAGCAAATAATAATGCTAATGTCGTTCTCCAACTGGGCCAGCCTGTTCCACAAGAGTGGTCTGAGCCTGTACTGCTTAAGGGGGCAAAACTAACACTGAAGGCAGTAAAAATAGGGTCACTTCATGGCCTAGACCATGCTCTTTGTTTAAAGGGAATTCTTACATGGAGACAAGACTGAAGAAGGAGGATGCTTATATGAAAAACAATGAGGGCCTTCCTCTGGCCATAAAGTCCTGACTCCTCTGCTTTGGTGTATTTTTCTAGGCCTTCCTCTTTTCACCGTTTGCAGCCCAAGCTCCTCTTCACCCCCGAGCCCAACTCGAGCAGTCCCAGTCCTGTCCCCGCAGTGTTGCCCCCCGCCATCATCGATGGGATAACAGAATCGTGACTGTGCTGGAGGAAAGAACAGGCTGAGCAGATGGGCTGTGAGGGAGGAAGTCCTCATATAAAACACAAATAGCTGCTGATAATTTAGCAGATGTGCCCAGACAAATGAGGAGAGACAGGCAGGAGGTGATTAGATTTATACCAAAGTCAAATAGAAGTAGAAGTTTTCCTTGCTGTGAAAGTTGTTTACAGCTTCGCTGGTCCCACAACATGATGTGATACAGGTCCCCTGGCACCCGTGCACAAAATGACAGACCTTCATCTGTCTGGCCATGTACTCTGCGGAGCTCTTCACTCAGGACACCATGTTCTCATGGAGCCAAGTTTCTCAGTGACAGCCTGTGTGGGTTTTATTACAGTCTCTGATCACACTGGGTAGATATTTCATAAGGGAATAATCCATCCATTATGACCCATTTGGCTGTAATGAGGCACTAACCTCTAAACATGAGTCATGACATTCATAGGATCTTCAGCATATACAGTTTGGTTGCTATCGGTAGAGAAGAGCACAAGCAGCACTTCCTAAAATCAGCATTGGCAAGGGATGTTCTTGGGGATGCTACAAATTTGTCGACATTAACCCTACAGTGGCATTCACGTGACTGGCACTGTAGAAAACACCAGACCCCAACGAGTTACGGTCAGTCTGGGCCCAGAATTTCAGTTCTGTGGCCTGTATCAAACAGATCACCACTAGGGAGGTTTCCACGATCGCCTTTTCTCTGTCACGTATGAAGATTCCTGGGCGTTTTTTATTAAGCGCCATTCTCTTGCTTTGTGGCATTGCCAACCCAAGCACTGCAGTATTTGGGCGAGTGGGGAACCGGGAACTGAAATCAGCCAGGAAAACTGGCTTAACCCATCTCTTTTCAAATCCAAACGGAGAAATTCAAAAAGGAAACAAATGCACAACTGAAAATAAAACAAATACTTGGATGTACCCGTTCCTTTCATTCTTGTAACCTAACTCAGAGGCTAAATTAATTTGTAGAAACTTAGGATGTCTAATGGCGTGTTTCTAACAGCACATGCCGAAGAAAAACCTATGTGGACTTTTATTAAAGAAAATGAGCATTGCTCATTCTGAGGTATTATCTCAGCTCTTTTGATCATGTTATAAGATGGAATAATCAAAGACGCCGGCAGACCCAGTCTAGAAGGATTTCACTGCATCTGAAGAGCCAGGGCAGTCTCCTGCTATCAGTTCAGGTCTTGGGCTTGTACTATTTTCACTTCTGCCTTTGATCCAAAGATGTTACTCTGAAACGTGTTTGAAACAAAGGGATCATCAAGATGATGTCTACAAGACATGGGTCTTAGGAGTTAATGTAATATCTACCAGCGCCAGAAACTCCAGGGGGACACTTTATAGTTAACAATTGGACCTGAGTGGAGCGGGGGAAGCATTGCTTTCTGGTCACTGAATTCTTGGAGACTTCTTGGTCAGAAGAATGGGTTGTGGTGGATGAAATGTCTTGGTGCATATATGTTTTATGAGGGAGCCAGTTTTTGCCAAGAAACCCATTATAACATTTCCCCCAGTCAGATCTCTTGAAACCCTGCCTGCTAAACTCGTAAGCACCAAGAAAACCTTGAAACCACCAAACCAAATGTTTTTTACAGATCTGTCTCCCAGGAAGGTCTCCAGAACTACTAGATCGATGCAGCAATTAGATCATTTTCAAGACTGGGTCCAGGGCTGCTGAGAAGGTCAGTGCTTCGGAGCCGTCAGCAGAAGCATGGCAGGTTCATCGTTGTACTTCTTGCTTGCTGTCTGGCACTAGAGGCACCTTATGGAAAGACCTTTGCAGACTCAGCACAGCTAGGCTGCTAAAGCTGCCATTAGGTTTAACAGTCACTGTTCCTGTTTAGAAGAACAAGGCCAAATTCATCCCGTATGTAATTGCTTTGTCATTACTGGAGTCATAAAAGGAACAAAGCTGACTGTGTTGTGAACCAACTCAACAGCCCTATGAATTCAACCAGCTCACTGCCCTCAGATTCAAAAGCAGCAGGCATTTGGGACACACAATCTCTCCTGTTTCAGATCTGCAGATGGTTTGACTCCAGTTGCACTTTTCCAAACAGTTTGTCATCGTTGCCTGAAAGTATTTCCTTGCTTCTCCTGGTGTGCTAGATACAAGCCATTCTGGAGCCGCCCCCCCCCCCGGGTCCAGAAAATAAGTCATTTAGACTTTAATTCTGGCCACATCTGCTAGCTACAACCTTTCTGCTTGCCCAAGTACTTTCACTACTTTCCTCGCTGTCTGATTGGAAGCACCACACACCTGGAACTAGTAATTAAATAAATTGCTCTGATGAACACTTGCCACCGGGCAGGCTTTGGTATAAACACAACTGATTTCATCAGGCTTCCTTCTCTTTCTCAGCTTTCCCCTCTCTCTGCCTTTTAGCTGTGTCACTCTTGCCCAGAAAGGGAACCAAATGGAAAAGGATCTCTTACCAGAACTAAGAAATAATTCATCCCAGAATCGCCAGCCAGTCGCCAGTCACTGTCCCTCTTTGCAATCCCTCTGGAGCTGTCCCTGAAAGGATCGCCTTTGCCGCTAGGATGCCACAAGCTGGAGATTAGAAGTAAATGCTCGGCAAGCCAAGCTGATCATCCCATTGCAAATGCACCCAGGTACTGAAGCGCCAGCAATGGAAGAGTCCGTCCGCCTGCAGAAAACACACACACGCACGCACGCACACACGCCAATAACAAAGCAGTAGGAGCCCAGGAGGCTGCAGGCAGAGGGGGAGAGCAGATGGAAGGGGGGTGGGGAGCCCGGCAGCGAGAGATGCTAACGTGACAGATGTGTTGACTTGAACTTAAACAGGAAATTGATAATGCTCAGCATAGGGGGGAAAGACAATAGCTGATATTAAAGGCAGGGGCTGGTTGTACTAAGTGACCTTTTCTTCCTTCTCTCTCTATTACTTTGTTCTATCCCGGCTTGTGCTTTAATTCTAGCTCGAGCGCGCGCGCGCACACACACACACACACACACACACACGGAAAAGCAATAACAGGCTGCACTGACTCTACCTCTCTGTCTGAGCAAAGCAAGGGCTGACAATGCCAGGTCTCAGAGGAGCGTTAAATAGGCTTTCCCTTTCAAAGAACTAGTTAAGGGCCTGGCCATTTATTCCTCATTCAATTCAAACTCCCAGTGAAGTTATTTAAATGGCATCAGCTAGATGACTTCAGTGAGAGTTGGCCCAGAGCTTATCGAGCACCACAATTGCACTCAGTTTGGGGAAAGGAAAATACAATTACAGCAAAACGCTAGATGTAGGCTTCTGAAGAAGCAAATTAAACAGCAAGGAGTAGAGCTGACCCATTTACATGCATGGAAAATAAAAACCCTTGATAAAAGTCCTATCCTCAGGAATCAATCAAGGCCTTTTACCAGAGTTTAAATGACAACACTGCAGAAGCTAATGCTGGCCCTGGCTTGCCAAGGATGTGCAAAGGTGTATTCACACCCTGCCCCTCGAGAGTCCAACAGAAGTCAGTTTGCAGAGGGATATAACTGTCATCCAAACTCACTCCACATTGAAACTGGGCATGGCAGCAATGTCCTCAACCAGTGCTGAAAGTGCAAAGGCAGCCAGGGAAATAAAAGGCTCTTCCTCAGTCAAAAGAAAAATGAATAAAGGCAGTGACTGAAAAGTGAATGCTTTTCAGGCAGGGAAGGAGACAGAGCCAGAATCCCAGCTCCTAGGAGATCCAGGGGATCGATAGCAACACCAGCCCAAGTCTTCCAAACAGGACCCTGGTTACTGCTTCATAAATGGATCTCCATTTCCAACAGAATGGAGACCCGGCCTGATTGCCCTGGAGAATGGAGTATTTTATCCACAGGACAGGCACAGCCACCCCACCACAGCTCTGGCTGTCAGGGCCAATTAGTAGCAGGAGCAATTAATTTTGCATGGCACATTCAGGCAAGGTGAGACAGTCAACATGAAGACCCATTTTGGGTCTTGACACTAGGGACACAACTGACACCCATCTACTCTTAACACAGGACCACACCCCACAGCCTCAGTCACTAATGCCACTCAGTCCTCCTGACACCACTCATTTCTTTAACCCTTCCTTACCCCATCTCTGCCTTTCTGAGGCTGGCAGCATCTCCCATGTTGTATCACATTCCCTCCCTGCTGCTAAACTAAACCCACCATTTCAGAGGATACTAATTTATTCCAGCTCAAAGCAGATGGGACTGACCTGCAAACCCAGTATCTTATTTCTATAGCCAGCTAAGGCAGGGCAGATGCTTTCCAGGGCAAGGCAAGTCATACATGGCTTCTACATGGAAAACTGTGTACCTGATTAGCAACCCAGGGTGCTGGTCAGAGGAAATGACATTTGACTCCTTAGCAAGATTACAAGACACTGAAAAGGAGCTGCCTTGTACTCCCTGTCCTTCTCCCTTTATGCTGCTGCACTTGCTCATCTCTGCAATCATTTATAAAGCTCCACAGTCTTTCTTAATTGCAGCCCCACAATGCTCAATGTTACATCATATGCCACATCTGTATCATTGGACACCTGGACCTTTAGCCACCTCTCAGAGGGCATCATCTGCCTGCCAGACAAGTCACCCACACCGCCTCACCCCATCCTCCTCCCATCCCTTGCCCCCTTCTGCACTGGTAAAGCTGGTCTGTTCCACTGTGGCCTGATGGGGTAAGGGAAGCTTGGTGAGGAGTTTAAAGCAGTCTAATCCCTGGGCTGGATAATTCAGGAAAAGAGGATTACCCGCTCAGAACACAGCCCTCGCCTAAATATAGACGCCTTTCCTTTGCATTTTATCTCATGTAGCTGGGAGACACTTCCTCATTCTGCTCTCCAGCCCAGTCCTAGGGGGCTAACTCTGACCCCACTTTGCCCCAGAAGAAAAGTGGAGCCATTGGAGTGACCACAGGATAAAGCTGGTGTCTGCAAGAGGAGAGCTGGGGCTTCTTTTTAAAGCAAGTTTATCTCCCATCCTTTCCCCAAAGTGCAGGGCTGAAAACAAGGCTGGCCCTGCTGATCATATACCCCAGTGGCTTAAGTTATGTCCTCCATTTCCCTTCCCCAGCAGTTTGAGGCAGACAGCCCAGCCACCCCAGGATCCCTTTTCTCCTGGTATCTTTATTTGGTTGTTCCAGCTCCTTTTCTTCTTCCCAGATTTTAAGCTGCCGTAGCACTAACCTGCTCATTAGCATGGGAGTAATTCTATAATCCTCTCAGATGAGGACGTTTGCAAAGGTTCAGCTCGTGATCTGGAAAATTAATTTGGAGAATTGACAATCGGGGAAGCAGGATCCTGCAGACAGACTCCTGAGCTTCCCCAGTCATGACTGTTAGCATTGCCGGGATTTTGTACCAAAGCCAAAAAGCCACCCAGCTCCGGATCTGAGCAGAGGATGGGGAGCTTTCTCTTGGCATTTAGTACAGAACTGGGTTGAATGATGGCAGATCTTGCATCCATTAGGGGTTGTACCTCAGGAACCAGGCAGCCCCTCAGCCTCTGCTTTCCCAGTTTAACTCCAATTCCCCCAACCCATTCTGCAGAGGTGCCACTTCCCTCAACCTCTTACTACAGAGAATGAGCAGGGTTTTCACAGATCTCATGGTAATCTTCTCTGCATCTTTCCCCCTTCTCCACCCCTGCCTCTCCCCTCCACCAAGGTGCGACTTTATTTTCTTCTTATGCAGAAAAACAACACATCCTTATTCCCACACCAACCCATGCCATTTCTCCAGCATCCTGGCTGTCCCTTAGAGATCCCCCAGTCAAGAGTGGATGAGAGCCAACCCCCTCTTGAGACTATACAGTCCCACAAGAGGGTGGCTTTCCACTCTCAGCATGGGGTTTTGCACACTCACTTCTCCCCACACTGATGAGCTCGCCTCGTGAAGTTGGTATCTACACATTTTGTGCACACAACCAGCAAGTTGTACACGCTTAACTCTGCACACACAGAATGGGTGTTTTGGTGGTGTGCCCAGCTGTGTGCTTATGAACAGGCATGTGAGATCAGAGCCTGCCATGAGAACCGATGAAAGCGTGTCCTCTCTCTCCAGATCACTTCCCTGAATAAAGAGCTGTCCAACATTGCCATCTGTGCAATAGACCATGTCATGGACCACAGATGGGTGCATATAACATGTCCAACATCCTGAGGCAGAGCCCTGGCAACTGAAGAAGCTGAATAGCAAACCCTGATAAGAGTCTTGCTGCTCATTGGCCTTCTGTTTATACAGCAGAGATGTTCCAGGAACATTGCCCGAGCACCTACAATCAGTGTTTGCACAACCCTTTCAGAAAACCCAAGTACCTAATCTCAAGCCTGATCTTCACTCAAAGCTCATTGAACAGCACAGCACATCTCTCCCAGCAGGGCCCAGATAACATGGGGAAGAGATCAGGATGTACCAGCACTGACTGTAAGTCTTCCTGCCAATGACGTGGGGCTGTAATAGATCCTCCAACATTAGCTTGGGGCTAACCATCACCTTCCTTCGTCCACCAGGAACTGGAGGGGACCTTGCCGTACCCTGTAGGATAATCAGGAGGAAGGTCTAGAAGGTCACCTCTCCTCCAACCCTCCTCCCAGGGATTGCCCCATGAGACAGGGTGTAAGTTGACTGTTAGTGTAGGTGCTCTGCAGATGCAGAGGTGGTATAGTGCATTGCTAACTGAACAGGAGACACTGGGCTCAGTGCTTTTGCCCTAAGGGAAACAATGCTGCGTTATTGTATATTAGACATCTAACTGGCCAAGTGAGGAGATTAATTCATTCACTCTCCTCTGGCAAATGACAAGAAACAGGAGCCTGGAAAATTACAATATGCAGCAGCTTTCAAATAGATGCATCGCTTAGTCCTGTCCTGATTTTAATGTCTGTCTAGATGTCTGGTGGGGGAAGATCCCCCTGAACATATATAGTTAACTACTGAGAAAGCATCCAATCAAAACTCACCGGGGTTCTCCTTTGCACACAAGAGGGAGCTCCACAGTTCCCCTCCCCCATCCATTACAATTATTGGGTTGGTTTTTTCAGAGCCAAGGTCATACATGTCAAGTAATCTTTCAACAGCTCCATGGTTTTTATGGGATCTTGCTATAATGGATTATGTCACTGCAGTCCTGCATATGTGATGAAAATCTCAACTGAACAGCAGCTATCCCCAGACAGATACACAATGCATATCTAAGTGTGTAAGCGTCCATGCATGTATATGCACGAGCGCGCGTGCACACACACACACAGAGGATCAGATTTTTTTAACCAGATCATATTATCAGGGGAAATAATATACAGTACAGCTGCAATTCAAACAAAAAATCATTTCCTTGCCCTCCGTGGCTTCATTTCTTCTCTGCTGACAGAGGTGACCAAGTGCACTTTTTAGTTTTAGTTACATCCACGGTACCCAGGTAGGTAGGGAAGGACTATTACAAAGGACAATTAAATTGCATGCTTGCAGTGTTGTGGCCACATGGGAAAGCTGAGGGTGACAGGGGGGGATGTACGCAATCCCACGCAACTCATATCCACATGCACACAGACAGCACAGCAGACACTGCATATGCAACTTACCCCCAGTACCCACACCTCAGCCATACACAGCTCATCCAGAACCCCCCACCAGGGCACAGTACGATTGTCCTTCTAAATTAAAATAACCCTTTCCTCTTTGGATGCC